CAGCCCTCAGGGGAGAAGGGAAGGGGACCTCAGTGGCGAGGGATTAACAGTGCTCTGAATTCCATACTCCAGTGTCGGTTCATTCCCACTCTCCTCTTGGACCCTCACGCCCTGAGATGCAAGACAAACAGAAAGCCCCTATTAGAGGTGAGGGTGGGGGCAGAGGAAGAACTCACTCGGGGCCACTGAGCGGCTCCCCATTCCTCAGCCCTGCTCTGATAACCACCGACTCTTCAAACCAGAAGCTGAAGCCACGCATATCAAGCAGGGCACACTCGCAGGAACACATGGCAGGCGGTGAGCACCTCGGGGGGCGGCCATGGGGTCTTAACCTGGGCATCTGCTGCGGGCAGTAGAGCCTGCTGATTCATGGTGTGAGGCAAGACCGGCACACGCAGTCCTAGCTCTGCTCCAGACAAGTCACTTGTGTTCTCTGAGCCTCAGTTTCCCATCTGTAAGGTGGGGATGGGAATGACAGTGCTTACCTCAGAGTGCTGGAAGGACAAAATACACAAGCAAGCAATGCACAAAATTCAGCACTTAGTACGTGGCATGTATTAGCAAGAGGAATATTTCTTATGAATGAATGAAGGGCACAGAACACTAAAATCAGAACCATCTGGGGACTCACTGGCAGTCCAGTGGTTAGGGCTTGGCGCTTTCACTGCTGCGGCCCAGGTTCTATCCCTGGTTGGGAAATTAAGCTCCCACAATCCATGCAGCGCCCTCAAAAAGTGTCTCCTCCCCCAAAAATCTATTCCTCTACTCCACAGGGCTCCCCTACAGAAAAACAGCACCTCTTCTGCTGTGAGAGGCCCTGACTGGAAGGAATTCTTAAGCAGAGAGCAGGTGTCAGCAAACTCTTTTCCGTAAAGGGCCAGGGAATAAATATTTTGGGATTAGCCATCCAGTCTCAAACCCAACTACTACGCTCTGTGGGTGAGATAATATGCAAATAAGGGGTACAGCAATGTGCCAATAAAACTTTGTTTGCAAAAACAGGGTGACAACAGTCTCCAGCTAAAGGGAAGCAGCCAGGTGGCAGCTGCCTGAGCAGTAAAAACAGGAACCAGCCTGCGAGGCCATCATCTCACTGAAACTGAGGTTCAGTAACCAAATGAGAACAAAAAAGCAGATGGTGGATGGAGCTAGAACAGACATTGGGGTGCCGCCCAATGGCGCCCCTGGCCCCACCTCCCTGGCCTGGTGGGTGTGAGGCACCCAGGGGCAGCCAGGCCAGTACCACCCTTGGGAAGAAAACGGCCTCCTGATCCTCGCTTCCCAAGTGGGGACACCACCACCTCCACGGCCTAGCACTTGAGAATTTTTTTTTTTTTAAGTGTAAATTTAAAGTTTGAGGCAGCAGCCCATGTTGTTGTGGACTGCTTCTAAAAAATAATACAAATAAATGATAATGACTTTCTAAGCAGCTGTGACGAATAGGGTGCTAGGCTGGGTGTTCACGTATGAGGGAAGAACAAGGAGGAAGCCTGTGTCCCTGGCCAGGACTGTCTCCCTTTTCTTACCATTTGGGGGACAGGACTCGTGGAGCAACCCACGGCCTCTACCAGGAGGGCGGGATAGGGAGAAAAGAGGGGGCACAGGTCTCCTCCAGGCTGGGGTCCAGCTGGGGCAGGCCCACCTCCGGCCATCTCAGCCACCTCTGCCTCCGGGGAGTGGCCTCTCCACGGCCTGCTCCGCATTCTGGGCAAGAACTCTGCTTCCTTCTCTCCCAGGTATTAAGGGCTGAAGCGCAGAGCTTCCAGCACCCAAAATGGGATGTGGCTCTGATGGGACTGGGATGCCTGCTGGATGGAAAAGCTGCCTGGGCCAGAAACCATGCCTCCATCCAGCTGTTCCCTCCCACCCCAAACAAGGGTTCCGTGTCAAACCAAGCTGAACACTTTACATGCCTTTGCCTCCTCCTGAAAATTTACCAGCTGCATTCAAGCTCCTTGGAGTTCCTGAAGGGTCTGGGAAGTCTTTAACTCACTGTTTCCCAAGTGTATTTGGCCTTGGAGCATCCCAAGTTCCCCATCTAGAATCCTCAGCCCCATCCTATCTTCTGCCCCACCCAGACTCCTCCTGTCTCTGGGAATCTCCCTTTCCTCAAAGCCCAGCTCAAGGATGACTGTCCCAGCCACGTAGCCCACCAAGTCCTAAGCCCACCTGTAGGTGTGGGCCTGGCCATCTTCGCCTGACCCCACAGGGAGCAACTTCACAGGGAAGAGATGAGTAAAGGCACCAAAGAGGCTTGCAACCAAGCCCTGAGTGGAAAACGCAGGCTGCAAAGCAGCATACTGTAAATTATGATACTGTTCTGTTGTTGTTTAAAAAAAAGAAAAAATACACCTGTATATCTATACATAGGAAGATGTGAAAAGACATATATCAAATGTTAATAGTGATTATCCAGAGTATGGTAGCTGGAAAACTTTCTTCTGTACAGAGTCAGACTGTAAATATCTTAGGCTTGGAGTCATATAACTCTGTAGTTGCTCTAACGCAGCCATAGATCTAGAAGATATCTAAACCAATGGGCAAGCTATGTTCTAAAAAAAACTTTACCAAAGCAGGTGACTGGTCAAAAGGTCATAATTGGCCAGTTTCTGATCTGAAGATTGAATATGTGATTTTTAATTTGTCTATTTTATGTTTTTAAGTATTTTTCAAATTTTCCACCATAAACATATTACTTATATAAACTAGGAAGGAAGGAGTGATTAATAAATTGTTCATTTTGGGGGAGGGAGGGATAAAAATTAGGTATTTGGGATTAAAATACTCATACTACTATATAAAAAATAGATAACCAATAGGGACCTACTGTATAGCACAGGAAACAATAATCAATATTTTGTATTAATCTATAAAGGAAAAGAATATAGACAAATACATGTACATATATGTATAACTGAAGCACTTGGCTGTATACTTGAAACTAACACAATTCTGTAAATCAACTGTATTTCAATAAAATTTTTCTTAAAAACGCTTGCACTGTGCTGTGAGAGCTTGCAAAGCAGCCTCTCCCACACATCTTGGTGGCACAGAAATGGAAACCCCTACAAGGTCCAAGCTGGCCATCTCTGTAGTTCAAGAAGGACTTTCCTATAAATCAAATGGTAAAAAATCTGCCTGCAAGGCAGGAGACCAGGGTTTGATCCCTGGGTTGGGAAGCTCCTCTGGAGAAGGGAATGGAAATCCACTCCAGTATTCTTGCCTGGAGAATTCCATGGATAGAGAAGCCTGATGGGCTATAGTCCATGCGGCTGCAGAGTCGGATACGACTAACCGATTAATACACACGTGAGGTCTAAGCTAGCCATCTGTAGTGACATGACCAATGCTCATACCTTTTAACACAGAATGCTCCTCTTTTAGAATTTACCCTATAGGCTCCCACTGAAATAATGCACTGTGGTACGGTTCTGTTCTGGACTCTCGCATATGCTGAAAAGAGCCCAAGTCTGGAAGTGACCTATTTGTTCCTCAGTCAGGAACTGAGTAAACCAACTGAGGACATCTGAACTACAGGATCCTACAAACACTACGCAGCAGTGTGAAGAAAAGGCAGCTCTGATGTGTAACAACCTCCAAGAGATACATTTTAAATGAAAAAAGGCAAATGGGAGAATATGTATTTTAAAAAGGAAGAAAATACTACATGCATATAATCACTTAGGAATGCTGCTAACTATCCTGGAATGACACAAGAGCCTAGGAACACTGCCTACAGAGGAACCAGAAGGCAGGGGATGGAGATGGAAGGAAAACTTATTGTCTCCTGTGCCTTTTCAATTCGGTATCCTGTGTGAATCTTCTATTCCAAAAATGCAAAAATGTTAAAAGAATGAATACAGTGGAATTTAACAAAATGAATCACACCAAAAATGACACAGGGGCTTCAAAGGCCTCTAGCCAGTCAGAGCAAAGAAAGCTCTGCGATCCTGACCCTGGTTCCTCACCTGTGGGGAGGAGGTGACACCTGCGTGGCAGGCCCAGAAAGGCGAGGCATTCGCCCAACCTGTACGGTGACCAACTCCATTCAGCACACGAGTCCCCACTCCTCCCGCTCCCCTTGCGTGCCTGGATGTCCTCACGGCCCCAGACCACAGTGTCTGCAGGAGGTGGGAATGATGCTAAGAGAATCGGGGCACAGGAAGCCCAGGCCCCTGCCTGCCAGCCTCCGGCCTGGTGGAGGCCTTGAGCCCTGTAGAACCGCCAAAGACCCAACGCCGCCAGCAGCACACCCTCCTGGCTGGGTCGCCTCTCTGTCTCCATCACCGCCAACGCACCCCATGAAACAGCACGCTGGGCCTGGCACCTACACCCCCAGCCCCACCCCCACCGGGTGGGAATATCCACAAGGCTCTTCACAAGAAGGGCGCCCTTCTTAACCCCGAGGAGCAAAAGGCTAAGACAGGGGTTCTCGGCCCGTGTTTGTGCATCCCCGGGCTCTCCAGTCAACACACAGGAGAATGAGCTTCTTGCCACCTCATCTGCAGGCAGCTGCACCCCCAAAATGATGCCGAGCCTTTACTTTCACATCTCCCCTGGCATCTCGGAGTCCCCTGAAAGATGGAACAAGCAGGAATTGCCTTTTTCATTATATTTTGGAGAGAATGAGGCTCAGAGAAGCAAAATGACTTCAGCCGACACTTCAGGCAACAGCAACCCCCTCCAGACTGCCTGGCTCGCTGTCCTTAACTTTGCCCATACCCTGTCAGGCTCCCAGAACCCCCTCTTCCAAAAATGACCATCCCACAATAGGTGCAGGCATCACCGCTTCAGCAGCTTCCTGAAGCCGGCCCCTCTCCCAAGCTCTTGGGCACGCTCATCTGACAAGACAGGAACAAGCCAACCCCTCATTGTCCTCTCCAGGGAGTTCACACACACGTGCCCAGGAGACAAGGGGGACCTGATTCAGCGAGACCAATGTGAGCAGCTCCCAGGACTGGGAAAAATGACCAGGTCCTGCTCGTCTGCCGGCGACCTACCCCTTCTTCAGGTTCGTCACATAAGCGCTCTGGAGGGCGGCTTCCAGGAAGTAGGTGAGCTCGTAGTCGACCGGGTGCGAGCCTTTCAGGTGCCGGGATGTGGTGTTACTTGTGACCTGGCAAGGGGAACACAGAGAGCGCTGCTGTCTGCAGGTGCCAAGGCTGAGGGGCTGGGGCCAGGGTCAGCCCAGGCAGGGGCAGCGGCTCCAGCGCCTCCCAAGCCCCCAGGCACCTCAGGGACACGTACTGCAGTATTCAGATCCAACGCAACCTGAGCTGCTTCCATTTAAAGTAAGTCTACAACATAATACTTTCCAGCAATATTAACTATTCACATTAAACGTTACAGGAGTATCTAAGGGAACACAGAGACTAGCAATGGCTATGGAAGAACCTCAGCATCTTCTATGCTTTAAACTGAGTGGGTGGTTTCCTACCCACTAAGTATTATGTTGTATGATTTGAAGACAGACTACATGTCATTTTATTATACTCTGTCAATCTATAATATATTAGACCAATGCTTTATCTAAAATGCTTTGATTTTGTATATCTTGACAAATTTTACTACCATATGTAATAAATGTGTATTTTTGTACTTGCAGAAACTGCTGCTAAATTTTAAGGCTGTTTGGTTTTAAAGGCACTGATAATGGATATGTAAGAAGTCCATGCTGTCTGTCAAATAAAAAACATAATACCCTTCATAAAAAAAAAATAAATAAATAAAATAAGTCTAAAGCATTCTCTGCATGCAAATGCCGGATGCTGGTAACAGCCCTCCAATGCTGGTTTTATTTGCACTTCAGAGGAAACTGAGGCTCAGAAAGTGCCTGGGAACACAAAGCTGGCTTGGGCCATGATCTCAGACTCAAGTCTGGCCAGCTACACATTCCGGGCTCTGTATTCATTGGTACATTCATTCAGCAAGCACTCAAGTGCCTACCAAATGCCAGGCCCTACACTGTCCCTGTCACATACCAGGAAACCTCAGAACAGCTGGATGGCGACCCTGGGTCTCTGGGGAAGCTGAGGAGCAACCGTATTATTAACTGAGCTATCACTTAAGCTCAGCTCTGAGAGGGCCTGCCTTCACTATGCCACCTCCCTCTCTGATCCAGGGGAAAAAAAAAAAATCAACGAGCCATCCACCTTATTTTTCAGAAACTGAAGTAGGTTTAAGAAGGATTCTTAGTTCCTCAGAGGTTGGGGCTGGGTCTTAGAAGGGACACCCAGTCTTCCTGAAAATGCACAGAGTTCCACGGCCTGCCCTCCCTGAACCCACATACCCAGTTATCCAGGCCCATCTGTCAGCCCAGAGTCCCCGGGGTGCTGATTCCAGCCCTGGACACCATTACAGCTCATCGCCTGCATCATCCCCTTTAAAGAGTGCGAGGGCCAGGCTTCTACTGAATGGGTCACTTTGTCTTTTTCCTGAATTCTTCCTCCAAACCATATGTAATTCAAATGTGAAGAGCTTCTAAAACACTGCATGCGACCTTGGCAGAGGTCAACGCAAGTCTCCACGTGGACCTGTGCCAGGGAGTACACTCGAGTCCTGTTTCTGCTGCTTTAAGAATGGGCCTCCTCCCCACCAGGGGGTCCAGTAAGGGACTGCCAGGGCACCTGAGGGTTGAGAAGAGTGTCTACAAGGACTGGCCTGACTGCACCCTTCCAAGGGGAGTGGGTGATGATGATCAGTCACTAAGTCATGCTCAACTCTTTAAGACCCCATGGACGATAGCCTGCCAGGCTCCTCTGTCTATGGGGGGATTTCCCAGGCAAGAGTACCGGAGTGGGTTGTCATTTCCTTCTCCAGGGGATCTTTCCGACCCAGGATCGAATCTGTGTCTCCTGCAGTGGCAGGCGAATTCTTTACCACTGAGCCACCTGGGAAAGCCCTCCAAGGGGAGAGGAGTGGGCAAATAGACTAATCTAAGCCTCATCTATTAAACAGGGATGAATATAATATCTACTTCATAGAGCTGTTGTGAGGGCTGTCTCAAACAGGGCTGTCAAATTTGGTCATATGAGCTGAGCTCATCAAGGAGTTTGCAGCTCCCCATAGACAGGATTCTTCTATTTATTAAAACTGTTTTCTGGCATTAAAGAGTCTCAAGCTGACAGGATCGGGACACTATAAGGAGTTTCCAGAGCATCTTAAGGATGGGTGCAGGGCCCTCTTTTCTAATTTGCACAAGCATGACCTACGGGGTTCGTTGGCGGGACTGGTGGGCTGGGTGGTGCATAGGTACGAGTGCTCGGCAGAGGGCAGTGATGACTACGGGGCTGTCATTTCCAGCTTACCTTCTCCAATTCCTGCAGGAACACCTGAGCGATCCAGGAGGCTCTCTCAAAACAGGTGATCACTTCCTCCTCCCTCTCAGTCAGGCGGGGGCGGGAGGCAATGGAGTTGGGCAGGCGTTCCAGGGAGAGGCCTACAGGAGGAGGGGAGCACTTCGGACCTGCCCTGCTTGAAGGTGGGGGCACCCAACTCCAAGCCCCTCTCAGGGGCCCAGGGTGGCCTCATCTGAGACTCTGGAGCAGCCAGTGGAAGGCAGAGGTTCCGGGGAGGCGGGGGGAGGGCCTAAAGCAAGAATGGTATTAGCAGCGGCGGGCATCAAGCAGTAGGCAGACAGCAGGCACTGTGCCCTATGTGGGGAACCACACTGCTGGCACCCCATGCCCAACTCCTGCCTGGCCTTCCAGGCAGCGCTCCACGAAGCAATCCTGACCCCTCCCCAGGCACTCACCATGTCTACACCCTGGAGTGGTTATTTACATCCAACTCCTCTCCCCCAGTAGTTCAACTTGGGCAAATGGTCTCTCTGGACTGTTAGAGTGACACAGTCCTCGCACATGGTAGACGCTTGATTACAGAGCATTTATACACAGACCTCTTGAGGAACCAACGAATCTCTACCCCGCCTACGTTACACTCTCAGGTCCTATGTGCCTGCAGGGGAATCTGCTGTTTTTGTGTCCCTGGCATTCACTTCCCATTCTTTTAGCAGCAGCACCTCACTTTCCCTTTGAGCGTCCATCCTGCAGCCTCACCCCCATGGTTCACAGGGTAAAGACCCCATCCCACCTCCAGGGCAGGCATGTGATCCAGGCTCACTTATCATCAGGCCCACAGTGATTGGCTAGGGTGTGCATGTGGCCAGGTGGGGCCAAGAGGAATTCTCACCCTTCCACTGGGCTTGTTAAGCTGCTAAGAGGTCAGACTGGAAATGTTAGGGAAAGCTGACCTTAAAACAAAGCTACATAACGTGAATGTCATTAACATGATGGTACACTTGAAAATGGTTAAGATGCTATATTTTATATGTATGTGTTTTCTTACCAAAATTTAAAAAAAAATTAAATATAAGAAAACATAACTTTAAAGTCAAAACAAAAACAAAAATCCCTAAACTATAAGAAACCAGGAAGAGAAAACTGTGGAGGAAAACAACTATATTTATATCTGTTGTGTTTTTTTTTAAGACAGGAAAAAGATTGACTAAACTCTTAGTCATTAAAAAAAAAAAAAAGAAGTCTACTCAGGAGAGATGAGACATGATGGTAAAGGGCAGATTCCTAAAGAAAGTGTTTGAACACCTAGCCTGAAGAACTACAGGCTGAAACCGTCCAATCTGTGCACCAATAAATCACTTCCCCTACTTCTCCCTCAGGCGGGGGAGGGGTCAAAGTCTGCTTAAACTGTACTCTTGTCACAGGCAACTCACAGTCCTGACTAGAGAGTGCTGTCCAGATGGCGGTTCTCAGGGGGCAGAACTCAGATCTTTCTCATCTTTGTGCCCACACAGTACGTGACATGTAGCTGGTGTTCAAGATGAACTGACTGAAGGAAGGTCTAAGAAGAGAATCCTCAACTCTCTGCCTTTGGCCCTAACATCCAACTGATGACCATTTAACATTTCAAACCTCCTCTCCCCTTCCCCCCTCTTATCTCCTTATTCGGGCTTTATCTCTTGGGTAGATAAAGAGATATATTGCCTTCCTGTCACACGCAGCTCACAGTTCTGCCTCCAGGCTCTCATCCATCCTGCTCAAGGCTCCCAGGGTGATCCTTCTAAAACTCTACTGCTTACAACCCCTCCAAGGGTCCCCGCTGCTATAGCGTAAGGTCCAAATTCCTGACTCTCTGCACCACATCCTCCAAGGTTCATCCCTGTCAACTCCCCAGCCTTGTCTCTCATCATACATTATAGATCAAATGTTTTGTGTCCCCTTGAAAGTCACATGTTGAAAACCTAAAGCCCAAGGTGATGATATGAGGAGGCTGGCCTTGGGGAAGTGATTAGGTCCTGAGGCTGGAACCCTCGTGAGGGATTAGTGTCTATAGAGACCCCAGAGAGCTCCCTCATCTGTTCCATCATATGAGCACACAGCAAGACGTCGGCAGCCTGCAATCTGGCTCAGCAGTAAAGAACCCACTTAATGCAGGAGACACAGGTTTGATGCCCGGGTCAGGAAGATCACCTGGAGAAGAGAATGGCAACCCACACCAGTAATCTTACCTGGAGAATCCCATGGACAGAGGAGCCTGGCAGGCTACAGTCCATGGGGTCTCAGTCAGTCAGATACAAACTTAGTGACTAAGCAACAAGAAGCAAGCTAGAAGAGGGTCCTCACCAGAACCTGATCTTGATTTCAGACTTCCAGCCTCTAGGACTGTGAGAAACAAGTGTCTGTGGGGTATAAGCCAGCCAGTCTGTGGTGCTTTATTCTAAGCCTGAGCTGACTATGACACCAGACCTGCTGCACCCACATCCAACCTCCTGCTCCCAGATGCTGACTGTGCTCAGGCTGCTCTTCTTACCTGGAACGTAAGGACCCCCCCAAAGTCCACCCAAAATTACAGCTCACCTTCTGCCCCACCAAGTGCCACCTCCTCTGTGGAGCCCCTCCTGATACACCCTGGTATTACCAACCATCTCTCCTGGTGTACACTTGACATATTTCAGCCCCACCATTTTTTATACTTATTTATTTGTGCACATGTTTGCTCAGCAAGACTGTAGGCTCCACCTCATCACGTTCCCCTTTCTATAACCTGGTGCACAGTAGGCTGGCTGAACAAACGACAAGCCCGCTCATGTCTGACAAAGTAGAGTACTCTACAAACACAAGGTAAGGAATTACTGCTTTTCTTGGCTAGATGTCAACCCATATGGATTCAGTGACCTTGCCCTCTGCCAGGATGGGGTGGGAACTGGTTCAAAGGCCGGGGTGCCTCAGTCTGGGAAACGCTGGGCACAGGCCGTGAAGGCCCTTGCTCAACACAAAGACTCAGCTACCCAGGTCACCAAGTGTCAACATGCCTCTTGCCAAATGACTCATGACCAGGAGAGGACTGAACGGGGAGGGGGAACAGAGTGTGCGCTGGAGGAGATGCAACAAGGAGGCAGAAGAAGGCAGGTCCCCCCATCACTGCTGGTGCTGGCCCAGCCTCTCCTCTCCAGACCTATGGCCGAAGCTCCCTGAAGGATGGTGGGACACAGAAACTGTGCAGGGCCTCGCCTGGAAGCCAAGCGCAGATGGCCGGAGGGCACAGCCAACTCCAGAAAGACACAGAGAGGGTCTGCTTTATCACATCCTGTGCCAGCCCTCCCTGCCCCGGGCCAGAGATATGCCACTGGTTGGGTTCCCTGCTGCCCTACGTCTGGGCCCAGAACTCGGATGGGTGATGCCAGCTGCCTGGCAGGTTCAGGCTGCCAGTTCCAAGCCTCCGGTGGGCTGGCCACAACAAAGCATCTGTCTGTGGGGCAGCCACCTTCCCTACGCTTCATCTGTTCCTTCAGCTCCTAGCGGGGGCCTCTCCACTGTGCTTCCCTGAGAATTCTAAATCCATCTTCCTTGGAAGCTCACAGTGAAACCACCTCTTCCCTGAAGATTTCGGAAGTCTCTCAACTCCAGAACCAGCAGAACATTTTAGCTGCATCTCCTCTGTGTGTGCCCTTCCCCTACACTGTAACTTTCCTCTCTGCCCATTTCTGGTTGATCCTTGCACCCAGCGAGAGCAAGACCTGGTGTTCAGTGAGTGGAAGGATGCATAGAGGAATGCGCATGTTCACTCATGCAGAGTGTAGAGCCTGGTGAGGTTTCTCCCTCTCTACAAAATAGTTCATGCAGAATTTATAGACAAACCGTAGCATATTTATACAATGGAATACTACTCAGAAATAAACAACACAGATGAATCTCTCAGAACTTATAATTGTGCAGAAGAAGCCTGATATCAAAAAGTACAGGCTGTATGATTTCAGTTATAAGTCATTCTAAACAAGAGCAAAATTATTACCTGTATTAATACAAACTAAGCAATCATTGCCTGGGGTGGGGTTGGGGAAGGGACCAGTAGGCAAAGGACCTGAGGGAATTTTCTGGGGTGATGGAAATGTTCTTTGTCTTTACTGGGCTGTTGGTTACATGGGTATCTACGTTTGCCAAATTCATCAAATTACACACTTAAGACTCAGGAACTGTATAAAAATATATCTAAAAACAATAAAAACATTCCTCTTTTAAAGAAAGCAATTATGACTCCAGGGAACTAATGAAGACAGAGGGGGTATAGTCATTGAAGTGGTTGTATGTGAAATAATTTCCAACATACAGAAGACCAAAAAGCTTCCTGGAGCTAGCAATGGCTCCTCCTAGTGAGGGTCACAGTCCAATCACTGAGTTCTGTCCATAAAAAAAGGCTTGTCTTATATTTGCTCTTTGATTCATATGAAGGTCCATTTTCCTCTCTATGAATATCTAATGGGAAATATACCAGGAACTCCAGGCCTCGAGTTTCTTCACCCTCTGCCCTCTGTGTTGAGACCATACTAGGTACAAGACGGCGACAGGCTGCTCCTGAGTCTGCTCCCAAAGGATCCCAGTGGATCCCAGTCCTGTCAAGTGTCAAGAAGCCAGGGGCTACCAGGAAGCATTGGGTACTATCTCCTGAATTTCCACGAGCAGAGGGGTCTTTCTGTGAAAACACCCTGTCCTATGAGAGAGGGGAGTTCCTCTTTCAAGAAGAACTCTTGCTTTTTCATGAACTCCAAACTTTCCATTTGGAGGCAAACTGATCCTGGCAGAGCCCTGGGCTCAACACACAGACTGGCCCTGGCCTCATCGGTCTAAGTGACTCATCATATCCTGGACAGCAGTTCTTCCAAGAAGCCCCACCCTTGGAGCCCAGGGTTCTGGATGTGGAGATGGAGAACGCGATGCTTCCTCTGTAGTGGAACTTTCCAGATATGTGGACCCCTCCCTCCTGCCTACCCAGCTAGTCGAAGAGTACAGGGCACCCAAGAAGGGTACACCCTATGGGGGTGCAGGATGGGAGAGAGGAAGGCATGCAAGTGACAGCCTCAGCCCTCGGAGAGGAAGCCTCAAGGCCAGGTTGGGAAGAACTCTTATAAATCACACTCAAAAG